TCTCCCGCGAGCTCATTGTCAAGGAATGAAAAAACGTACAGCTCACAGCGTATTTAAGTCGGTTCTGCCGGGATTGACGTCTGCCCTTGGTTACTGTCATTTTTAAGTGTTTTATTGCAAAACATGAATGAGTTTTATTTTCCGTAATTGATTGCATTGTATATAGTTTCTGGTAAAATGTAAAAAGGTGGGTCAGAGATTCCCCTAGTACTCACTTTTGACGCCCCACGTTCTCCGGGCACAAGACTTCCACCACCAAGTTCTTCCTTTGATTGGAGGATTTTCGTTACCAGTACGCCTGTGAAAAATGAACGGTGTCATCAGCGATGGAGTCAGGGGAATGCAGTAGTTGTATGATTCTTACCAAGAAGTCAATTGCTATCTGATTCATCTGGCTCTATCATCAGAGTTTGAATTTATAAACAGCCTATACGCAACCAATCACGATATCAAAAATGCCTTCTCCAAGCGTATGTGTTAATAAAATATGCTTAAGTCGAAAACCTCAGAAAAGCCCATTGGGTTGTAATTGATGAGGGAAAAAATAGAATAAACCGAATGCTCAAAACAATGCTTGGAAACCGAGATTCATCCTAATGCACTGTTCTTACCTATACAGAAGACATTAACTTACATAAGGAGGTTGCCTATATTATTGTCGAATATGCTCTAATTGAAGTTAATTTGCCCCGAATTCACGACGCCTATCTAATGTTTTACCGCCTGATGAAAAAAAACCAAATGACCAGCATAGCTCGTGAAATGACGAATTTTAAGCTGAGTGTAACTTTTTACAAATTTTATGCATAAAAATTATCCCGCGAGCCTTGGCAAAAGCTCAATAGGGTGGGAAAATGTCTGATTGAGTTTGAGCTACTGTTGCCCCGAAGAGTGCGACAAGAACGAAAATAACAAGTTGCGTTTATACAAAGTGGCTAGCGCTACCTAAGACCAGCAGGACCACATGCATGGTCTTCAGCTAAAAGCCTCAAAGCTCTCCAGATCAATTGACGTCAAAAAGTACACAACTTACGTAGTTAGTTACCATAATGTCAGCAATGGGTACTAGGTAAAAGCCCAGTTACGTGATTCACCGAGATTCTGCCCCTGGAGGACATAGTTGCGAGGGATCGGTCTCATCAGGGGGTCCCCCAGCATCTCCCGTGTGCTTTCTGGTAGATATTTCAATTTTGGAATTGCAGCTTCCTAATTTTTCCTCAGAAATTCATTGTCGGCTTCCAGGTGTTGGCCGAAATTTTCTGTGAATATTTGGGAGGAAGCTCACCAGCCACTGCGGGTTTACGACATAATATTCACAAACTGCAAACATACTGGTAGCGCAGCATATCAAATTGCAGTTTGTGTCTGTACAACCTGGAATATAATGACCCACTCTTAGAAATTAACTTCTGAGAAAACTGGAAAGCTGAACTTCCATAGCTGGATTTGTGGCGGACAGCCATAATGCCCATCCATACCCCCCCTTCCGTCTCCATTGGCGAAGGAACGTCTCGTCCACAGAAGAGATGTGATGGGATAACAACACATTTGGATGAATGCTCCGAGTAATTTGTTTGGGGTTCGAGCTGGACATGAATGGCTGAGTTTTGTTGAAGATATTAGTCTTGATTCGCGACAGGTTGTCGGCAACCGTGTTTCCCTATCCACGGACACAATGAATGACACAAGGAAAACAGAACGGTGAAGTCGATAGAATTTGTGAAGAAGTTGTCAGCCATATCAGAAATTGTTGTTGCGTGGTTGGATCACGTCGGGGTCACCCATTTGTAGGGGTCTAAGTAGTGGTTGTACTCTGATTACCACAACCACCAGGCCAAATCCCAGGTTGGAAGTTATAAGGCAGAAGTCACCAGAAGGAGTGGTTTATTGTGCACAGAACTCCCAATTGCTGTCTCAGATGGCAGTGGCCACTGGCGAAGCCAGGGCTGGTCCTGACTGCGTCCAGCCAGG